AGGTAGTGAATCAATCAATCCAGGATAAAGGTAGTATGAGGACAAAAAGAAGCAAAATCATTCTGTTTAAATTATTAGTTAAGGGAGTCACAAAATCAAAACATAGAAAATAGACATCATATACATAAAACATGGAGAGGGAGTTCTTTTACACATGTAGTTCTTTTATATGTGTTCTAATGTAAGCAACCATCACTTAATATTAACTTCTGTATACTTAGATTATATATGAACTTCATGGTAAACACTATCCAAAGACTTATAATAGATTTACAAAAATTAAAGACAAAGATTGTCAAGCATAACACTGAGGAAGGTCACTCATCAAAACGGAAGAGAGCAAGAGAAGAAAAAAGAAACAAAAAAGAACTACCAAACAACCGAGAACAATTAACAAAATGACAATAGATATAAACATATCAATAATTAAATGTAAATAACCTAAATGTTTCATCAAAAGATATAGGATGAATAAAAAATGAATAAAATGAATACATGAATGAATTTAAAAAAAGCAAGCCCCACCTGTAAGCTGTCTATAAAAGACTAACTTCAGACCTAATGATATGTATGGACTAAAAGTGAAGGGAGAAAAAAGACCTACCATGCAAATGGAAACAAAAAAACTAGGATAGCAATATTATATAACACAAAATAGAATTTAGAACAAAGATTGTAACAGGAGACAAAAAGGACATTACATAATGATAAAGGAATCAATCCAAGAACAGGATATAACAATCGTAAATATCTACGCACCCAACCATAGGTGCAACTAAATATATAAAACAAATATTAACAGACATAGAGGGAGGAATTGGCAGTAATACAATAATAGTAGGGATACTGAACACCCCATTTTCATCAATGGGTGGATCATCCAGACAGAAAATCAATAAGGAAATGCTGGTTTTAAACAATACATTAGACCAAATGGACTTAACAGATACATACAGAAATTCCATCCAAAAACGGTAGAATACACATTCTTTCAAGAATGGATGGAACACTCTCCAGAAGAAATCACATGTTAGGACACAAAACATGTCTCAATAAATTTAAGAAGACTGACGTCACAGCGAGGATCTTTTCCAAAAATGAAACAATGAAACTGGAAATAAATTACAGAAAGAAAAAGAAACAAACAAGTGGATGCCAAACAACGTGCTAGTGAACAGCCAGTGGGTCTCCAAAGAAATCAAAGAGCAAATCTAAAATTACATGGGACAAATGAAAACAGAAACACATTTTATCAAAATCTTTGAGACATAGCAAAAGCACTTTTTTTTTTTTAAGATTTTATTTATTTATTTGACAGAGAGACAGTGAGAGAGGCAACATAAGCAGGAGCAGTGGGAGAAGGAGAAGCAGGCTTCCTGCCAAGCAGGGAGTCCAATGTGGGTCTCCATCCCAGGACCCTGGGATCATGACCTGAGCTGAAGGCAGATGTTTCATGACTGAGCCACCCAGGCACCCCCAAAAGCAGTTCTAAGAGAAAAGTTTAGAGAGAAAGGGCCTATCTCAAGAAACAACAAAAATCTCAGAAAAACCACAATCTAATATTATGCCTAAAGAAACTAGAAAAAGAACAAAGCCCAAAGTTAGCAGAAGAAAGTAATAAAAATCAGAGTGAAATAAGTGAAATAGAGATTAAAAATACAATTAAAAAGATAATCAAAATTAAGATTAGGGTCTTTGAAAAAGTAGGCAAAATAGACAGCCAGATTCATCAAGAAAAGAAAAGAGAGGGGACACAAATAAATAAAATCAGAAATGAAAGAGGGTAAATAACAACCAACACCACAGAAATACAAAGAATTATGAGACTACTATGAAAAATTAAACACCCTCATTTGGACATTGTAAAAGAAATGAATAAATTCCTAGAAATATATACTCTTCTTATACTGAACAAGGAAAATAGGAAATCTGAAAGACGGATTACTATCCATGAAATTGAATCGGTAATCAAAAAATTCCCAACAAACAAAAGTCTAGAACCAGATGGCTTCCTAGGATAATTCTACCATACATAGAAAGAAGAGCTAATATATATCCTTCCTAAACTAGCCCAAAAAAATTAAAGAGGAAGGAAAGCTCCCTAATTTATTCTACAAAACCATCATTAACCTGATACCAAAAAAACCCCCAAAAAGATAAAAACATTATTAAAAAAGAAAATTATAGGCTAATGTCTCTCTGATGAACATAGATGCAAAATCCTCAACAAAGTATTATCAAACCAAATCAATAATACATCAACGATCATTCACCATAATCAAGTGGGATTTATTCTAGGGAGGCAAGGATGATTCAATATCCAAAAATCAATATACAAGATATATCATATTAACATAATGAAGCATAAAAATCTTATTATCATCTCAATAGATACAAATAAAGCACTTGATGAAATTCACCATGACTTAGTAAAAACTCTCAAAAAAGTGGGTTTAAAGGTAACATTCCTCTATATATTGAAGGCCAAATATGACAAACCCAGAGCTAATATCATATGCAATGGTAAAAACTGGAACACTTTTCTGCTAAGATCAGGAGTGAGACAAGGATATCCAATCTTGCCAGTTTTATTCAACATAGAACTAAAAATCTTAGCTTTGGCAATCAGACAAGAAAAAAAAAATCCAGATTATTATGGAAGAAGTAAAACTGTCACTATTCGTAAATGACATGATACTACATATAAGACCCTAAAGACTACATCCAAAATGCTGTTAGTGTTACAAAGTGAATTAAGTAATGTTTCAAGATGGAAAATTAATAAAGAAAAAATTCTGTTGCATTTCTATACCATAATAACAAAGTGGAAGAAAGAAAAATGAAGTAAACAATCCCATTTACAATTGCATCAAGAAGAACAAAATGCCTAGGAATAAATTTAACCAAGCAGGAAAAGACATTGCAGTTTGAAATTTGTAAGATGCTAATTAAGAAATTGAAGATGGCAAAAAGAATTGGAAAGCTATATCATGGTTATGGATTAGAAGAATTAGTATCATTAAAATGTCCATACAACCCATAATAATCTAAAGATTCAATGCAATCCTTATCAAAATACCAATAGCATTTTTCACATAACTACAACAAACAATGCTAAAATTTATAAGGAACAACAAAACACCCTAAACAGTCAAGCAATCTTGAGAAAGAAGAACAAAGCTGGAGGCATCACAATCCCAGATTCCAAAGTATACTATAAAGCTTAAGTAATTAAACCAGTATGGCTCTGGCACAAAAATTAGACACATAGATCAAAAGAACAGGACAGAGAGTCCAAAAATAAACCAATCATTTTATTAATTCATCTATGACAGAGGACATCAGAATATACAAGAGAAGTTTTTTCCAAGAGAAGTTTTTTCCAATAGGGAAAAGACCATCTGTTTAATAAATGGTGTGGGAGAGCTGGACAGGCACATGCAAAAGAATGAAACTGGACCACTATCTTACACCATATACACAAATAAACTCAAATTGGATTAAAAAAACATGAATATGAGACCTGACACCATAAAACCTTTAATATAAAATACAGGCAGTAATCTCTTAGACCCTGGCCTTAGCAGTATTTCTCTATACTTGTCTCCTCAGGCACAGCAAACAAAAGCAAAATTAAACTATTGGGACTACACCAATGTCAAAAGCTTTGTCACAGTGAAGGAAACAACGAAACAAAAAAGCATCCTCCTGAGTGGGAGGAGATATTTGCAACTGATGCATTTGATAAGGGGATTAACATCCCAAATATATTAAGAATTTACACATTTTAACACCAAAGGAAAAAAAAATCTAATTACAAATAGGAAGAGAATCTGAATAGATTTTTTTTTTAAGAAGACATACAGATGGCCAACAGACACATGATAAGATACTCAGTATAAGTAATCATCAGAGAAATACAAACCACAACCACAATGAGATACTGGCTCACTCCTGTCAGAATGGCTAGTATCAAAGAGATGAGAAATAATGAGTGCTAGTGAGGATGTGGAGATAAAGCAACCCTCGTGCACCGTCGGTGGAAATGTAAACTGATGCAGCCACTGTGGAGAACGGTGTGGAATTTCCTCAAAAAATTAAGAATAGAAATGCCATACAACCCAGTATTTCAACTTCTGGACACTTGCCTGAAGAAAACAAAAACACGAATCTAAAGAGATATATATCTGTATCTGTCTTACGGCAGCATTATTTACAATAACCAAGACATGCAAGAAATTTATGTGTCCACGAATAGATGAAAGGATAAAGAAGGTGTAGTACATACATTCCCAATGCAGTATGACTCAGCCACGAAAAGGAATGAAATCTTGCCATTTATACCAACATGAATGTTGCAAATTAGCCAGATAGAAAAGATATATACTTCATGTATCATAATATAGGTCATGAAACAAGCCAGACAGGAAAATACAAATACTATATGATTTCTCTTATGTGTGGAATCTAAAAACCCAAAGAAACAAGCAAAGAAAAAGCAGAAATAGACTCATAAATACAGAGAACAAACTCTTGGTTACCTGAAGGGAGGAGGGTAGGGGGAATGTGTGAAATAGATGAACGATATTAAGAAGTACAAACTTCCAGTTATAAAACAAAGTCATAAGCACGAAAAGCAGGTAGAACATAGTCAATATTATTGTAAGTTTGTATGGTGACAGAGAGTAACTACACTTGCTGTGGTGATCATTACCTTTATATGATTATTGAATTACTACGTTTTACCTAAAACTGATACTGTATGTCAATTACCCTTCAGTAAAAAAGAACAAATTTTATCAAATCAAATTGACAGTAATAGGAGACATCATTGCCCTAAAAAAGAAATGTGTAGAGTTATTTCCTGAGTGCTTGTCATGTGGCAGACATTGTTTAATCACTATATTCGTAGCAATTTATAAATAGTATCCCACTAATGCTCTTAATGTTTATAAGTAAGGATACCCATTTTACATGTACACACAAATAACACAAAATACCTGAAGGGCCGTGAGGATATTTGCTAAGGCTTGTCCATATGTGTCATGGCAGTGGACAGCAAGAGCACTAGGTGGGATTTCTTTCATGACGCTCTCCAACATTCTCTTCATGCTTCCTGGAGTTCCCACTCCAATGGTGTCTCCCAGAGAGATCTCATAACAGCCCATGCCATACAATCTCTTAGATACCTGTTGGGAAAGGGGAGGAGCCAGTAAAACAATGGAAATGGAAAGACTCAAGCCCTGTTATTCCTTAGCAAACATCATCCAGAAGTAAAAGTCACAACTGAGATCAGTTACCTATCCATGGGAAACATTTATTTTAGTTTTCTGGTCCTTTTCCCATTTATTAAATCCAAAGCATTATATAAAAGTTTTAAAGACATTACTTTATTTTTCTAACATCCAAGTTTGCCTTAGAATCATAACTATCTACATAGTTTAGTTATGAAATTATAAGCTACAATTTCAAATACAGGAACCTTACTTTCGCAACACTTTAATCAAAGCAGAAGCATTACAAATTTACTTCGGAAGTAGTATTTCTCAAGGCCTTAGAGTAGAGGTCAAGAGATACCAATCCTAGTTCCAGCTCTGTCAGTAAGTAGTTTTGTGATTGGTAGAATCACTTAATATTTTTAACTTAATTCTTTGGCTCATAAATGGATGCACGTGTGCAAGGTAAACTGCAAGTTCCCTTTATGCTGTGTAACTATTGTCACTGTAAAGGGCAATACAAATTTGCAAAAAGGCAGCATGGTGTGTTAACAAAGACTTGCATTCTGGAGTCAGACAAACCTGGATTTACATCTCAGGGGTGAGGCATGCTAGTCAGGAGATACTGGTAGAAGATTGACCTCTTTAAGTCTTAGTGTCTCTTATGTAAAACAGACACAACAAATACTCTTATCAGCATATTTTCTAAGCCTTATTAATTTTTTAAAAAGTATATTAATGATGAAATTAATAAGGACATGTTGGTTATGAAAATGAAAGCAGGATCTATAAAAACATTTTGTACAATATCTGGCATATGTACAAAATACTGTAACTCGTTATTATGTATTTCTTCAGTGCCCATTTTATGACAGGCACTTGGCTAGGTGCTGGGATATAATAAGCATACAAATGTTGAGATGGTTTATGCTGTTGTGGAGCCTGGAGTCAACTCAGGATTGAACCTAATCAATTACACTCAAGAATGTGTAAAAATGAGTAAAATAAGAGTTTTGGAGCAAAGAAACAGGATTCTAAGAGCATGTAGCAAAGAAATTGACCCACATCTATCAAGTAGGTTGGGCCTAAGTGAGAGCTTAAGATAAAATAAGCGTTAACTTGTTGAAGAGGGTGAGAAGAAGAGTACAACAAGAATGTTTCATGATATGAAACATGTTTCAGACAGCTGAAATAGAAAATGCAAAGGGCATTCCAGATAGGAAAAAAATACAAAGGGCAGGTGTGGCAAGAAAGCAAAAACTAAGCTACATGAATCTGGCGAGGTAGGCTGAGGGCAAACCAGGCAGAGCCTTGCAAACCAGCCAAGCTGAGAATTTTGGTTGAGGATTCTATGATAAGAGCAACAGAAAGCTACAAAAGACTACTAGGGTAGTAGTGGTAGGGGCAATATTAAACTTTCAGAAAGGCACTATCAACAATATCAAAAACAGGTTAGAGAGTACTCAGAAGGGCTCCCTAGTCCAAGCAGGAGACTACTACTGGATGGAAACTTGAATTAAAAAAAAAAAAAAAAAGGCATAATTCTCATTCTTCCCTACTGCCTATTAAATGCTGGAATTTTTTAATGGTCAGGTAAAGAACAATGACATTTCAAAAGAGGAAACCTAACCACAGTTGGGGAAAAACCCTAAGTATGGTATCAAGGGACTTTAAGGAATACAAGGGTGTCCTCAAGGACAAATGATAAGTAGTCCCTAATCCTGCCAAGATATCAAGATGTACTAAATATCATCTTGCTTTTTTTTTTTTTTAACCAAGTGCTAAGTAGTGGTCTTACAAAGAGGGATTTCAGTGAAGTGAATGGTCGGTCAAGTCACCTTGGAGGATGAGGTAGAGCTGGTGGCACCTGAGGAAATAAACACCAGCAGTGTAGACAGCCATTTGAAGAAGTTTAGATGTAGAAGGATAAAAATATGTCGCCAATAACTACATGCGGATGCTTAATTAAAAAAGGAAGTTTTCGGGCAGAAGAGACTAGAACGTGTTCAAGAGTCAACAGGAAGGATTCTAAGCAGTTAAGTATATAGGGAGGAGGAAGTAAATGAGGAGAAGAACTAGAAGCTTGGACAGAGTGAACAGTTTGTAATGGTGAGTGCAGGGAGTAAGAGAGTGAGTGACCACAAAATGTAATACAAAAGCACAGAAGGCTCATTTATGAGTGCTGGCCATCAACGCCTAATGCTTCCAGTCTGCCTGTTACGTGATTCTTCTCAGCAACTCCTCAGGCATTCTGGTGCAGGCATGGAGAGTATGTGGGTGTGGTCCATCCATGGAGTCCACCAGGCAAAAGGCAGAAAAGCAAGGGTCTTGGTGTACAGGTAGAGTTGGATCCTAGTTCTTGTGGAGTCTGAAGTTATACCATTTTTGAAGTTTTAAGAAAAGAAGATGTAATTGTGAATGCAAATTAATAACCAAGTCTTGGAAGGGTCCCATGCAGGTGAAGGACTATGACACTGAAGCTTTTTTTAAAAAATTTTATAGTACCTGCCATAGTGTGCAAAGGTTTTGCTTAAAAAAATAGACTGTGGGACAGCACTCATTGAAAAAAAAATCTGCAGTACATTTCAAAAGTTCAAATGAGAGCACAAAGGAGGAATGACTTTAGCCAAATTGAATGTTTGTCTGCCTAAATTCTGGTTTTCTAACAATGTTATCTTCACTACTTTGGTACCACATTACAAAATATATGAAAATAACAGCATTAACAACAGGGACACATTAGAATAGTTCATATAAAAGTGTGTTTCTGAGAGCCTAATATAGTCTCAAAGACTGAGTATTCTGTATTCCTTGGTATCAACAAGTAGGAACAGGAAGTAGAAAATGAACTTCAGTAAGCAGGTCTTTAATGACTATAATCTATTGCTACAAAATTGCTCTCTAATAAAGGCAACTTGAATCTCAGCAGAAAGAGCTATCAGATCTCAAAGGAACAAAGCAGTGTACCCAAAAGCAGTGTATACTCTGATCCAAGAGCTGAAGCACGCAGGACAAAAAGAAAGGGAGCCTACCCGAGTAACCAGAGTGAAGGTCGTGTGTGCGCATAAACTGTCCTGACATTCTGGTGGAATGTAGAAAGGCCACTGAGTTCTACCCGCGGAAAAATGAAACAGGTATTTTTATTCCTTCACCTGTGAGCACCTAAATCATAAGACTCAAATGTTATTTAACATTGAAGAACTGTCCCCAATAGGTCCATCTTAAGTGTTAAAATCAAACTCTTAGTTAAGTAATCAAACTTGTTTCCATTCCATGGTTCTCCTTAAACTTTGTTGTGCAGATCAACACACAGCAAGGAAAACAGGCCACTTTTTAAAATAATATACATCATTTTACCAAGAACCAGAAAACCAGGGGTATCTTACTTCTGTCACTTTCTGTGGTATGATGGTTCCTTCATACGGACAGCCCAGGGCACAAGACACATACCTAAAATACAAAACCATATAAATATATAGATGATGGATAAGTCATTTCCTAATTTTCATTTTATAAAAATTAAGAAATAGCTTAAAAGTCATCAAAATGTATTTTACAGTAGTTCATTATTATTCTTACAACAAACAAAGAATTTTGGAACATTTTCAACTTAACTGACATTTTCATCTAGTAATCACAATTTGATATATGTTATTTGATGGCAGATGGGAATAAGATAAAAGGTGTTTATCTTGTGGAGTTATTTATACTATAGCAATATATGAACATTCATGTATGAATGAAAATATCACTGAATTACATAGTTTTATTTAAATAAGGACAAACATTCAACTGTTAAATATCCAGGTCTTTGGAATCAGAGAGAGATAGCATGTAGATGACTAACTGAATTTCTCTTTACTCCCATCTGGATATTTTGGCCTCATTTAGATACAGTCATTAATCACCCCAAAACTCCTAAACCAGGCCACAACCTCAAAGTTCATCTTGTTTATCTCCCGTGGGTATACCTAAATCATTCGAAACAGAAGAGTTTCTAGTCTACATTTAAAAGACTACAAATAAAGATATTCTATAAGCTTCTTCAACAATTTAATATAAAAAGTCAAGCCTTTCCTGAAATGATGATACTTTTCCATCTTAAAGTATTAAGCTTTAGAAAAACCTGTTTTAGCTATTTTCAGCTCAACACCAATCCCATTTTATTAAACTTTCCTCAGAGATTTTACAATGCTTGTATTAAAATAATGCATCATGTGCTTGATTGTCAGGGGTGAAGCAATTCACATGAGTGAGAGGGGCTGGTAGGAAATGAGGCTGGAGATGCCATTTTCTGAGCCAGAATATAACAAGCTTTAGATAATAAGGCCCTTGAATGCCATGCCAAAAAGTCTGAACTTTGAGATTACTCAAAATTATTAGGTAATGTAGTGACAAGATCAGAGTTGTTTTCCAGAAATGTTAACTCTTTGAGAACTCCGGAAGTGGCTGCCAGAGGAAGGTGCAGGCTAAAAGAAGACACACTCTAAGACCGTTATTTCCACACTTCTAAGATGCTGTCCACTGTAAGAAACACTATGAATTTCATAACAGATTTTGGAGTAAAAAAGCTATATATTCAATGATTCAATCCATATCCATTAATTCCAAAGATATAATCTAATTTCAAAAGTATTAAAATGTGAATAAAAGTTGTGTTTTGCGATTCAAACAAATACGCAATTTACTAAATCAGTAAGCATTAATGAGGACAGAGAAGGAATACAGTGGTTAATTCTATTAAAATTTGAAAGTAATGGTGGAGAGGAAATCACTTTTTTGTCCTAATAATTACTATAATTTAATCTTATTTGAATAATCTGTATAAATTGAATCAGGACAAGTAGAAAGAAAATGTTACAGAAACCTAACCCTTGGGAAAGGTAGCTAAGGTTGAAAAAGAACAAACATTTTCAATTCAGATACAATGATTACAGGTAAGTATTTTCTTTTTTTTTATATTTTTTTATGTTATGTTAGTCACCATACAGTACATCGTTAGTTTTTGATGTAGTGTTCCATGACTATTTGCGTTTAACACCCAGTGCTCCATCAATACTTGCCCTCTTTAATATCCATTAATGGGCTAACCCATCCCCCACCCCATCCCTTTAAATATGCATTTTCTATGTGTGTGTATAATCACTTTTACTCTAAACCCAAAATATCTAAATATGATTAAGTAGAAAATCCAAGCCATGCATTTACATGCCATCCATCTAAATATAAAAGAAAAATGAAAGGAAAAAAGAAAAAAAAGAAAAAACAAGTACAAAACAATAGAAGCAAACTAACCTCCCCTGTGTTCTCAACGTATCTGGCCATAGCTACCCCCTTTGTGCTGTAACTTTAAGTTGGCCACGTGCATTTTTATTCATTCAAGTTTTCCCTCTGATTCCTTCCCAGGTTTGCCTGGGTCTTCATATTCCACTGCATTTCACCTTCACATATTTTTTTCCATCCTTGCAAGTGGACACTCCCTTAACCTATTCACACATGGGGCTACTTTCTCCAAAACAAATGTGATGGTTCTCGACTATGTCCATTAATTTATTTTAATATTATATAAGCAGAGCTTGACAACTAAGACCCACAGCCCAAATCCTGGTCATTAGTCTTTTGCAAGTAAAAATTTTTTAAAGATTTTATTTATTTATTTGACAGAGATCACAAACAGGCAGAGAGAGAGAGGGGGAAGCAGGCTCCCCGCCGAGCAGAGAGTCTTATGTGGGGCTCAATCCCAGGACCCTGGGATCATGGCCTGAGCCGAAGGCAGAGGTTTTAACCCACTGAGCCACCCAGGCGCCCCTGCAAGTAAAATTTTATTGGAACAATGCCATGCCAGTCTATTTACCTATTATCCATGGCTATTTCTGCACTGTAAGAGCAGAGGTAAGTAGTTGCACATAGATTATCTGACCCACAAAATCCTAAAATATTACTGTCTGGTCCTTTACATTAAAAGTTTGCTGATGGTAATAAATGAAATACTTTCATGAGTATGAGAAAGTCTCTACCATGATAAAAAATAGTCTACATCATCTGCTTTAACTAGTGGCTAGAGTCGACATCTAGATTTCTGCTCTTCTCTAGCAATCTATTAGAAGGGCTCACGAACTTGCCTGCACCCATCACCTGGGGAGCTTAAAAAACAAAACCTTGATGGTTAGGATACACTCCAAAACAATTAAATCACAAACTTAGGAGAGGAAATTCAACCACCAGTATTTCAAAACCACCTCTAAAGCTCCATTATTTTGTCAAAATTGAAAACAACTAACCATTTAGCAATACTACCTCCCCTGGATGGCCTGATTTCCTTGTATTTAAAAAAAGGGGGGGGGATAATACAGAGTTTTGAGAGCTTGTCTCAAGAATCTCCCCACCACTACGCCATGGAACCTTTGATCTATTTTCAATTGTCTGGTGGTTAAATTTCTCAGAGACCTATCTCAAATCATTTCTACTCTGATGAAGCTCCAAACTACAACCTCTCCATTTCTTTTTTTATCCAGTTTCTTACTTCTGGCTTAATGTCCTTTAGTATTTTTTTTTTTCACCAGTGTTTGAGTTTTGCAGACCATTTTGTCAGCAAATTATTTTATTTCACCTTCATTAATGTATAATAGTTTGAATAGGTATAAAATTTTAGGTTAAGTTATTCTACCATTTGAACATATTTCATTATCTCTGTCTCTGTTTTGCTGATGAAAATTTTGCTATCTAAAGGTAATGCCTTTATAGCAACTTTATAGTAATTTTTTCTCTATTGTCTTTAGGATTCTCTGTTTAGATCTAATATTCTACATTTTACCATGAGAGTGTCAGAACTTTTACTTTTTTTTTTAACATTTGTAAAAGCTTCATTTTTTTATAAAGATCTCTTCTTTTATGTTCTTCTTTTTCTTTTCCTTTCCTTTTATAATCTTCTATTCTAATTGTTCTATTTCCTTTTCTGTTAAAGTTTTCCTGATTTTGTTTACCTTTTTTTTCCCTTAGGGTATACTTCGTATCATCATGGGATTTATAATTTTTATTGTGTCTTTTCATGGTGCTTTAGTTTCAGTAGGAGTTCCATGAGAGTCTTTACTTATTTAAATGTCCCTATAAACAAGATCTGACTGCCTTTGGCCCTTGCCCTGTGGACTTTATTAGTTCTTGGACAAATTTCCACCTGAATTTCTTAATTTGGGTTTCCAGAATGCATCACAAGTTCTACTGATTTTGCATTCACAAGAAGGTGATTCCCAGCTCTAAGAATAATCACTTTGAAATCAATGTTTTAGTAGAATATCTGTCTTTTCCCCATATAGACATTAAAATCCCATTTTCAGGCCACTAGGGATTATATCTGAAATAGATCTCCCATGTGCTAGTGGCATCAACCTGCATGTTTACCACACTTTCTTTAATGAAATCTGAGGACTTACTTTTCTGAGTTTGGCTATATGTTTTAAAAGTGGTTATATTTGTTTGTAATGGGAACAAAAAAGGGAGTCTCTAGAGAGCATCAACTCAGTCCCCCACAGTTATTGTCTTTCATCATTACACAGATAGATAACCCAAGGAACAACTACAAATCTCATGAACATTATGAATTGATTTCCTGACATATTCACATAATATATTAAGCTCAGTATATCCAAAATGGGGCTCATTCCTGTTTCCCCTGCATTTGCCATTAAAAAAAATAATAATGATACAGTCGTTTTCAGAAACTGTACTGCCAGATCACTTAAAGGTCATCTTTGAGAACATAGTCAATAACCTGGGTTGGCTGGTTCTTCCTTTCCAACCTCTGTAGCACAGGACATCTGCCAGTGCCAGCCCAAGTATACAGAACAGTCCCTGAATATCTTCTCCAGGACAGCTGCAAACATTTCCTAAGTGCTTTCCTTGCCTCTGGTCTCACATCACTCATTTGTACACCAATGTCTATTGACAAAATAATATGACCACAGCATAGATCTGTTTACATAGTTTTATGAAAATCTTTAAGTGGCTTGCCATTGTCTACCAAATAAACCTGGCATTCAAGTTCCACAATTTATGAAACTTCAACTTAACTTTCTACTTCTCTGCAATTACACAGCTTCAAAAACTCCCATTCCAGTGAAAGTAAACTTTTTCCTGTCACCTAAACATTTCTTGAGATTTCTTTTCACTATATCTTTGCTCTTTGTAGATTTCCTGTCCCACCTGAAAAGGCCATCATTTCTGATTATGCTTTCATGAATTTACCTAATCTTTAATGACTTCATTTTACTGACACCTTCTGCATTAGATTTCTCCAAATTACCCCAGAGAAATTTAATATAGTATTACTTAAAACTTGAATAGGATTTGTCTGTATGTCTCTTAATGTATTTGCCTTTTTTTGACAATATAATAATTATTTCTCTATATATTGTTTTCTAGTCTGCTTGAAACTCTTTTAAAGTCAGCTACTT